ACACCTACAGAGAGGGCAGGGCTTCAGTGCAGGTGTGAGTGTCCTGGGGCACTTTCTGGCAATTAGATCATTTGGGAAAATATGATTTTTATTATTTAGTGGCTGATGTAAACACTTAGTACCCATGATCTTTTTCCATTTTTACATATACACACAAGTCATGTGACATAGATAGTTTTACATCCATTTCAGAGATGAACCAGTTGAAACAGAACCCCAGAGTTGAGAGCATGTCTGGTTACAGTGATCCCAGTTCTCTGTCCCTGTGCTAGTCCTTTCTGAACCCCAGGCACATATTTGCTCCTCGGGAAGGGAACTGCAGACCCGGACAGGAACCCCTCACTCCCAGCCGCCCTCTGCTCCTGCCCCTGGGCCTGAGTCCCATGGACAGAGTGTCCTGAGTGTCCCCTGCAGGTCAGTTCCTTCCCTCCCTCCAGGATTCTTGCTTTGTGTCCCTGGGCCATGCGGTCTTTAGGGACAAGAGCTCTGTGTTCTGCTCCTTATCACTGTCCCTCTACTCTAATATTTATGGTTCTAGTAACTCTCAGGCCAGGTGAACTCTGCCAGCCAACAGCCCTCATCATGTCCATCATCTGTCCTCCCGCTTCAGTAAGTCCTTCCATTCCTGGAGGGCATAGGGGCTGTATCCCTGTGTGCTGGGTAGAGGCTCCTATACCCGTGGGCTTAGCATGTGAATTCTATTCTTCTCTCTCATGATTCTTTTCTATTTGACAAAGTAGATAAACCCATATTTATCCAGGACACAATGGGGTGGACTAGAGAAGGCTAGCCTCAGTAAAAGTAGATATAACAGGTGGAACGGTCAACACCATACAGTGAATTAATCCTTTTCACCTTGGATGAGGGATGCTGGGCCGTCCCCATGAGGAATGGACACAGAAAGGTTCTTCAGAGTAACGAGGAGGCCACTTCTGTGGGAAGCTCACATGCTCCTTAGTCTATCCGACCAGGAAACCCAGAGAAATTCAAACACTCGGGGTTCCCTAAACGGAAAATCTCATCACCTCTGGTCACACCCACCTGCATCGACCCCTCTGAATGGACGTCTTCCTGAGTATGGCGAGGCTTCACAGCAAAGACCTTTACGTGGGTCTAAAGCTAAAGTTACTAGCCGACCGACGGTGCCATGTAAGGGCCCCATGCAAAATCAGTGTGAGGGGCCCTTGTTAAAGTTTAAGAATTTAGTGACACTGAGAGCACAGCATTCTCTCAGTAATGGACAAATCCTGTTTTTCAGTTCTCTTCTTTCTCCTCCGGGAGCAATTGATCTCATAAATTTATTGCACACAAATTGTTACGTATCTAACAATTAACTTAAGTATCGTGGCTCATCGCTTCCATATTTTCCCCCTCTCCCATAAACTATTGCCAGTCGTGTCTGTGGCTTAGTACAGTAAAGACGTATTTCAAAGTGGTATCTTTAATCTCACAGATTCGTTGCACATATTTGAGATTTTTAAAATATTTTCTCAACAGATGTTTTGTGTATAGTACTGTTCTTTCGGACATTCCAGAAAGAGATTGTAAGTATAGTTTTATTACTGAAACATAGTAAGTATTTTAGTTTCTAAGTCATCTGACAGATTCATTGCACCTGTTTAGGGTAATATTTTTCTTTTGTAGGTTTTACCTTCTGAAATGCCTCAACCTCAAAGATTTTCTAATCCAGATGGCCTGAAATGAAAGATGCTGAGATATTTCTACAGATGTTAATGGAGTCTGATAATGATGAAAATGAACTTGAATTTGAAGACGAAAATGATACAGATGGTGAAGATGAAGTTGAAGACTGACACCAAAATTCTGACACTCAGCAAGGAACCGCTTCAGAAAGTGACCAAGAAAGTAATAATGAAGAAATAGATGACTATTTTATTGGGAAAGATAAAATAACCAAATGGAAAAAACCCTACATTTTCACAGCGTGTAAAAAACAGACCACAAAATATTTTAATGTGTTCGCCAGTTGTCATGGGATCTGCAAAACAGGCTACAACTAATCTCGAATGTTGGAACTGTTTCATAAATAAGGAAATATTGGACATCATTGTTCAGAATACAAATAAGTATATTATAAAAATTTGGTCACTATACTCTCATGAGAGAGATGCAAAATGTTCAGACCATGTCAAAATGAAAGCATTTATTGGGCTGATATATCTGGCAGTAATAGGTAAAGCTTATACTGAATTTATGTAATAATCATAAGTTGTTTTTAGTTTGTGGCAAATTAAAATTTCGTTATGAATAAATAATAAGCATGCTTACACATTATTTTTATTCATTTTCAATTTAAGAAAATAAATGTCTTACACCCATCTAGTCGATGCATTGCGCCCAAACTCGTAGCTTTTGCATTGCGCCCGATGGAGGGTTAAAATGACTCCCACATCTTTAGCCTCATTCTGCAAAAAGAGAGTGTCTCTTCTTGTGGTACCAACTTGGGCTCATCCCACCTGGTGTCCTGGTGCAGGACTGTGGAGTGACTGGTCCCCTAGTGGTCACGCTGAGCCACACAGGCTATATGAGGCAGGTACATTATCAGAATTCTTTTACTTCCATCAAAGATTTTGAGATAAAAACCTCACATTTAATGTCAGTTTTTTATCTAGGATCAGAATAGGATATGAAAACAGACAACGAGAACACCTTTCAGAAATTACATCTCTATTAATTGCAAAAATGAGAGCATAGCTGCTTGAATCGATATGGGAATTATTTGTAGTTATGTCTTTAAGTGACAGTTAAACTGATCAATACTTTTAGAGAATGTGAGTATGGAACAAAGCTAGGAAATCATATTTAAGTGTTTGTACTGAGAGTAATACTCAGTTATTCTCTATTCTCTATTCAGCTTCTTATGTACACTCAGATCATATGCTTTTGCTGAATTTTAAATATTTCTCCTAAACTTACTTTCTGTTGTGGGTCCTGTCTCAGTCCTGCTTCATGTCTTTCCCATAAGTTTAGCTCCCAAATGTCTGGCTCCATGTACGGGCTGGTCACTGAGACACGAGGAGTCACCAGCACACCCACTCTGTTCCCTGTCATCTGTGTCAGCACAGCCACCCATGAGGTGTCCACCACGGTGTTTTGTATGGGTGGGTCATAAGGATGTCCTGTGTCATATGGTTTCTGAGTTATTAGACATGTGCAAGGGTCAGCAGCCAGCTGTGTCCGCTCATGACACAGTCCTGTCCTGCAATAGTGCCTGTGTCAATGTGAGTCATGTTTACACAACACATGGTTCAACAGGGCCCCCTTCAGACCCAGTGAGTGGAACTTGCCCTGGGGTTTCCACAGATGCACAGACGTGTTAGATGAATTAGGAGATGACGTGGGGGCACGTGAATATCCACATATGAACTGGACCTCCATTCTGTGACAGGTACTGTGGGGGAGCTGAGAGTGTGAGCAGAGCTCCAGCCACATGGAGCTCAGTGTCTAGGGTGGATTTAGTGAGAATTAGGACAGTAGGTGACAGAAGGTGATGTTGGGTGGGGTTCAACCTCCACCCAAGTAAAGGAGGAATGGGAGTTTAGTGTGTTATAGGGAGAATAGAGACTTTTGGGGTGAGGTCCTGGGGACTGCTCCCCCGTGGGGGCATGTGTGCCTGTGTGAAGTAAGGGCCATGTGGGGACCCCGTGGGCATGTGGGGGGCAGAGCCTGAGCTCAGCACACAGGGGCCTGGACTGTGCTGGGGTCTCTCTGTGGAAAGTGTTTCCCAACCACAGGGAACATGAGAGCCCTCAGGTTGGTCTCTGTTGAGAAATAAAAACAGGACACACAGGAAGTCAGTTAAGAAACAAATTCACAGCTGAATGTCATTGTAAACAGTGTTTCCCCCTGTGTGTGGCTGTTGAGATTAGGAGAAATTCGAGTCACAAAGATGGTTCAAGTCTTTTCCCTGGGGCAGCTGAGGAATTTCAGAGAAAACCTCTGTTCCCAACATGAATTCCCTTCTCCACCCAGGTCCCAAGCTGGTCCTGGGGCTGGTCCCTGTGCTCAGTGTGTCCCAAGCGCCCCCTGGTGTCCCGAGGGCCCCCTGCAGCCCAGCTCCCTCTCCCCTGCAGGGAAGTTTGTGTCTGGGCTCACACTGACTTCCCCTCACTGTGTCCCTCGCACAGTAATACACGGCCATGTCCTCAGCTGTCAGGCTCTTCAGTGTTAAATAAACTTGGCTCTTGGAGGTTTCCTTGGTGATGCTGAGGCGGGACTTAAGCGTTGGGTTATAGGCTGTGCTTCCACCACCCCACACAACACCAACCCACTCCAGCACCTTTCCAGGAGCCTGGCGTATCCAGTGTACACCATAGCTGCTTAAAGAGAATCCAGAGACTGTGCAGGTGAGGGACAGGGTCTGCGAGGGCTTCACCAGTCCTGTGCCCGACTCCTGCAGCTGTACCTGGGACAGGACACCTGGGGACAAGGAGAATCAGTGTCACTCACGTGCAGTCACAGCCATCCCATAGGCCTGTGTCTGACATCTGAGACCCTCACCTTGGGGGGCTGTCACCAGGCACAGGAGAAGACCCAGCAGCCTCATCTTCTTCTAGACCACAGCTCTGCCTTCCCCAGAGAC